ATTTATTATAATTGAATTAATTTTTATACATACTATCTTTAATTTTATATATAATCTACATCAATTCAAAAAAAAAAGTCTATTAAAATCGGGAAAAAATGATTATTTAAGAGCCCAGGGATTTATGATTTTTTATGATTTTGATTATTTATTTCACCATCACACCTTCGCTAATTGTGTTATTTATAGTTCTTCATTATTATTATTATTACTATTATTATTATTTCTAGAATAAATATTATATATATATAAATATTTTATTGATTATTCATATATATATATTCGTAAACGTTTAATAAATTTTCAAATAATAAATGCTAACCTTATCAACCAAATTAGTAAAATAGCAGCAGTAAAAATAAATGCTGATATAAATACTCTTTTAGTGAAATGACTGTCATTTTTTGGAAGTGTTATTGGTTTTCTTGCTGAGGGCGGCATTGATAAAATTTCATTTATAACAGCATAGTCGATTTTTTCTCCGGATTTTAATGTTAGCCAGTGTTCGTTATATAAATTTATGCAAGATCTTTATGAAAACTATGAAATATTAATAAAACAATATTGTCGAAAATAAAATTAATCGATAATTTTACAAGTATATACATATAAACATGAATATTATTAACTTACGTTTGGTCTAAACCCGAATTAGCCAATGTTTGTAATTTCTCTGGGGGGAATTTTTGATACATGGTGTGTGTTTTTGAAATCAAATCATCAATATCGATGTTTTGTGGAAATTTTGACAAGAATGTATGAATTACATCACTATCAAGTTCTAAGGTCAACAATTCTTTCTTACGACTTAACACGACCTTTATAATTCAAATTAAAAGATTCCATTAGATAATATTATAACGATAATAATAATCAAAACAAAAATCATTATAAAAAGAAATAAATTTAATAGTCACCTTTGCAGATAAGTATTTATTGAATTCGAGCCCAAGAAATAAATGAGAAAGGAAACCAATTAGCAAACAAGTAACTTTTTGTAAACCTTGTAAACTTGCGTTCCTATTTGACTGCGCCATATACACAAATTTGTTAATGTTAATATTAATTGGTTAACGATCGCCAACTGACGATCATTTAGATAATAAAATAAACCAATCATATTTAATCTTGCGCTGTATTAATCCAAACCCATATGGACTGATTAAATGTAACCTTTTTAGAAAGTGCCGTTACTATTTTTATTTTTACTATTTTGGGGTGCTATTCTTCGGGGGTGATAATTTTTTTAAAAAGATTAAAAACTTTCAATGGAATTCAAAGTTTTTAACAGCATCTTTTAAGTTATCGTAACAAATTCTTCTATTATAACATTCTAACTTGACTTTTTTTTTTAATTTGAAATACTTGCAAAAAAGGAATTTTTTTGAGTCTTTAAACTACTTGTATTACATGACAGAAATCGGCCCATTGGGAAGTTTTTGTTGATAAAATTGGCTGTCTAAGAGGTGTTACTGCATGACATTTACTCGTTAGTAC